TTAGTTTTTACTTCCATGTTAAAGCAAGGTGGTTGTTGAACCAATTTCTTTTTGTTTTACTATTTAGTTTTCTTTCTTTAGTTCTCTCTTGTGCATGTATTATATTGGCTCAGAAAAAAGATATTGAATGACAGAGGACAACAACAAACAAAACAAACACTTGAGTAAATAAAATATATAGCTAATTTTTGTTAAATAAAATACATTGACAAAAATAAGCAAAAAAACATATCTGCAGGAGTATCTACATCTTCGTTTCTCAATGGGGGTTCCTAAGGGTCTGCAAAAGCTCCCCAAGAGTTCCATGTGTGTTTATCTAAAGTTCGACCTCAAATTAAATATTTGTGTAACAAAACACAGGCAGAGGCTTCACGTTGGAGAAAATAATGTTTCACTTTATCAAATGGTTCTGAAAAGTAACATTTTCTTAGCCCATTTATTGGTTCACAGGACATTTTGCCTTGATTTACTTTATGTCTTTTCAACATTGCCAGTAAAGGATAAAAAAACTAATGCAGCAATTATCTGTTTTCTTTCTGTGTTCATTTATATTATAGGTATATGATATATATATTAAAATATGATATATATGATTATAGGTATATATTATAGGTATATGATATTGGTTACTTATATTTATTTTTTTACGTTTGAGTTTAGAATTTTTTGTATGAATGAAAACTCCCTGATGAAGTTATATAAACAAACAGTATGAATTTTATTTAGTATTACCAAAAAATTTGACAAAGAACTATTAATTTTTCCTTAAACCAGTTATTCAAAAATATATACTATGATATTTATCATGTGAACTATGATGAAAATAAAATGAGAAAAATATGGTATATAATTTTGTTTTTGCACAGGGGTTCCTTGAGTCATGTAATTTATTTTAAGGATTATGCAAGGGTAGAAAGGTTCAGAAAAGCTGATGTAGAGTGTGTTGTAATGAAAAGAGCAGTTTTTCAGTCTTTGAGAAATTGTTGTCCTGAAAAGAACAATTTTATAGTCGTTGAAAAGTCTTGTCCTGAAAAGGACAGTTTTGTAAACAGATTTCATTGAACGACAGAAGACAGAAACAAACAAAATGAAAACTTGAGTCAAAAAGATATATTGCCAAATTTATTTTCATTAGAGAAAATACACGGACAAAGATAAGGTTGCAGTGAACTAAGCAAAAATATATCTCTGCATGTTCATGTAAATTGAGAAAAGTGTTGTCCTGAAAAGGACAGTTTTGTAGTCTCTGAAGTGTGTCATCCTGAAAAGGACAGTTTTGTAGTCTCTGAAGTGTGTCATCCTAAAAAGGACAGTTTTGTAGTCTCTGAAGTGTGTCATCCTGAAAAGGACAGTTTTGTAGTCATTGAGAATTGTTTTCCTGAGAAGAACAGTTTTGTAATCATCGAAAATTGTTGTCCTAAAAAGGACAGTTTCGTAAACATATTTTATTGAAAGATGGACAAGAACATCAAATAAAATGAAGACATGAGTAAAAAAATATATATTGCCATGTTTATTTTTGTTACAGCAAATAAATCAACAAAAATAAGGTTACAGAGCATGTGGCCAAAAAATATGTCTCTGCATGTTCATGTAGTGGGGTGAGAGGAGCATTGTCCTAAGAATAACAATTTTGTAATCATTGAAGAGAGTTGTCCTGAAAAGGACAGTTTATCACATATTGTGTCTGTTGGCAAGGATGGCTGGCTGGAGCTGGGGCTGCTGATGGCTGGAAATGGAGGCCTGCTGGAGATAGCTGGCTGGCTGGCTGGCTGACTGACTGGAACTGCTGCTATCATAGGCTGGCTGTCTGCTGTTGGCACAGACACTGCATTTTGATCCTAGTCATTTTATATATTCTAAAATACAAGGGTGGCACAAAAGGGAAGTGGGGAAGGGCTGGTCTTCACTAACTATCCTAAACCTAGATAATCTGATTCACAATCTATTCATTACAATTGACTCAATCACCACAAGAACTCATTAATCACAATTCAATCCACCATATACCACAATACTGCATATTCACAGGGATCCTACTAAGACATCCATGACATGGTAAAATACAAATTTGGCCGCAGAATACAGTATGAGACATGAGGTCAGTTTTTTAATGTGGAGAACTCAAGTGCAAGCACTCATGTCATTTGTCAAAATTTACCCAGCCCCTGCTTACATGGGATCAGGCTCAAAGTTTGTCTTAGCTGGTCTTAGCTGCAACCCACGAGGGTTGCATGTGGCACAAGGCCGGGTTTAATGTGGGTTCTCCGAGCCCATAGGCTTGGCCAAAAAATGCCTGTAGAACCCACATAAGTGGGGTTAGGTTGGTCAACCTACCCAGACAAGGCCATCCCAAAGGGCAGAGCCTCGTCCGGATTCCTCTCTGCTCAGAAGCAGAGAGCTCGACCTGCCAGCCAAAAAGATTTGTCTTAGCTGGTCATGGCCACAGAACAGATACTACACTTTGATCATAGTCACAGGGCTGTGGAATGTGGTATTTGCCACATACCAACCACTAAGTTAGGATGCAACACAAGGTCAGTTATTTAATGTGGGGATCCTGAATGCAAACACCCAGGCCGATGGTCAAAATTTACCCAGTCCCCATTTATGTGGGATCAGACTCAAAGCTTGTATTAGCTGATCATGGCCAGGGAACAGATACTACACTTTGATCATAGTCTCAGGGCTGTGAAATGTGGTATTTACCCCATACCCACCAAATACTACACTTTCATCATAATCTCTATAATGTTTTTCGACATTTGAGGCCTTTTTATAACCTGAATCAGTTTTATTGTTCCTGGAAAGTGAAGTTTCTTCTTCCAGTTAATTTTCCAAAATGTGGGAATGCCAACAGGATACAACAAACATTTCTAAAATTCAATTTAGTGTTGTGCACGCATTATTTAAGGCTTTCTCAAATTTCCCTTTAATTTTATTAAATATCTGTATATCTGAAGCATTTCTGGACAATTTATATTCAATTTCCCTTGCAATTTATTTGGTAATTGCTCTTGGATGGTTAGATTTTTCATTAATGCATAACAAAGTGCTGTTAATCTTTTAGTAAATTGAGACACTTTTATCTCTGAGATTGAGTTTCACATCAAGGTATTAAACAACTTTTAAATTAATCTCAACCTCCATCAATTAAATTAATATCAACCGAGTCCTCTGAATAATTTAAACTGCTTTTTTCTTATTGCATCATTTCTTTTTCTTTTCTTGTCCAACACAATTCAACGCATGAATGAATAATTCACCAACCTTTCCTAATGTACCTGGCATGAATTGGATAGCATTCAGCACTGACTATATAACCACACTCAGTCATAGCACTGATGACATCAGCAGCAATGATGATGATCATCATCATCATCCAGAGTGTTGGGATAAAAAGCAACAATAATAAGATGGAAAAACTAGTAATAAAATAATAGTAATAATGAAGAGTGTATTGACCCAACATGTTGGGATCAAAATTTACAATATTAAGACTGAATATAACTAATAATAAAATAAAGCTAATAATGAAGAGAGGTATTACCCTAAATTTGAGGGGTACAGAGCAAAGCAACAATAATAACATAGAATAAACCTGACAATAAATTGATAATACTAAAAGTTCTATCCACCTCAAGTATTGCAACAAATGCAATAAAATGATAACCACAGAACTCTAAAGATTCCTGAAAACAAGTTGGAACATTTTCAAGGGAACTGATTTTTTTTTTTGACTTTTTTTTTACAGTTTATCACTCTTTGTGGTTTATTTAAAGTCATAACATATTTTTGGATTTGAAAAATATTTCTTTTTTTACAAGTAAATACTGCATTAACAGTTTTTGGTGATTATAATGATTTTTTCCAGATGCAAGTCTTACTGTTTAACCAATGGTATTTCTTCATTAGTGACTGTAATGAACTCAACTGGAATTTGAACTTAACTCGACCATTTTTTTTTTTAAGAATTAAGAAGACTGTTTGCAATATTTTTAAAATTGGTGAGATTATGCTAAAGCATATTGCAGGTTGGTTTGGGCAGACTTGCTGTTAATAGTCCCTTTCTAGTGTGAAAATGCAAAATTGTAAGTGTGTCTAGTGTAAAGCAACAAGCATACTGATCATGATCCTCACTGGGTGTCCTACATCTGAAGCTTTAGCCTATATGTTCATTAATATTGTCATATAATGGTCATAAGGTGGTTATGATAATTATTGTCGGAGTTGATTGTTATAATATTTACAATAACAATATGATGACGCCATCAACCTTGATAATATATATATATATATATATATATATATATATAAAATTAAAATATCAACAGCTATCATAAATAAATAGTTAGAATCGAAACTTCCAGCGATTATCTCCCCCTGTGTGCATAACTCTTTTGGATTTGTAGTTCGGATTGATTCCGCTAGAGTGGCGCTGTTGTCGTTCAATACTGATTGGCCATATAAAGCTAACAAACGCAAGTCTATTTTCGATATATGTCGTTGCTGGACATTTAAGAGCCTTGCGAAGCAAATAGATTTCAAAAAAGCCCACCAAAGTAAGTAAAATTATTATTTTAAAAAAATAAAAATTTAATTGTCCCCCTCCTTTTTTTTTTGTTGTTGTCTTCTTTGTTATTCTGCTAAATTAAAAGGCAATATATTCATCGTCCTGTCGCCATAATTTTCGTGTCTTATTTACGCACGCGGTGGTCATGAAGTGGGTGGTCGTTTTAGATAATGATTTCTATTAGAAACTGAACCCCAACTTCATAATCATTTTTAATTGCCGTTATTTCTGGCTATTTTTTCGTTTTCTACACTTTTCTTTTATTAAATATTTTGCTAAAAAAAATATGTAATTGTTATTATGGCTAATATATGTTTGTTGCTGTTCTATTCAATTCTGTTCTGATAATGGTTTTATTTAAGCACGATTACCCTCTGTAGTACGGTTCGAGAATTGTTTTGTAGTAATAATCATTACATTACATATCTTTTTCTCTAACAATAATTGAAAATTGTAATAAATGTATATTTTTTTAAATGAAATATGTAAGACGTTTTAATTTTTATTTTTTAAAATTTTTCCCCTTTTTTTTTTAAATTATTTGTTTTCGTCTAAAAGTAAAATATTTAGCAATTTTTCTTTTTTTGTTCAAATTTTTAAAATCCTTTGTTTACTTTTTTTATTTAAAATATTTTAACACCTTTTTCTGTTATATATTTAACTTATAAAATAAATTACTTGTATCGTTTCTCTTAATTCGCACTAAAAACAACTGAACATGAAATCAAGGAGGGAAAAAACTAAAAAAGCCTTAGTCTTTTTTTACTAGTAATTTAGTACAAACATCTTTTTAGTTTCAAAAACAAAACCGTTCTATAATTAATGAAAACTATTAAAAAACATTAATATTTGAAAATGCTAAATATTCGATTTACTTGTTAAAAAAAATTCTTATTAACTAAAAAAAAAAGTTGAATAGTCATTTGGGTGGGGGGTTCTTTTTTCATTAAATAAATCTAAATTATTATTTTAAAATTTATATTGACTCTTAATTCTTGAAAATTAAAATTATTCAAATAATAATTGAAAAAATTGTTGAAGTCTTAAATCATCAACAAAAAAACAAATTTTTTTTAATTTAGATTTTATTTTTAGCTTGATAAAGTTCTTTATTTAATCAGATTTTTTTTATGACTGATGTATTTTCGTTTTTTTTTTTTTTTTTTTTTTTTTAGCTTTTTATTTAAAAAAAACATTGTTTATTTTAGAGGTTTTTTTTGTTTTTTAGCACAATTTTAAAAAGAATAAAAATAGACGTTACGTTTGTTGACTTTGATAACTACACAAGTGACAAGATATCTTTTTTTTTTTCTTTTTTTTTTTTTTCAAACAAACTAAAAAAAAAAAATTGTAATTATCAAAAAAAAACTTTTTTTTTTTTTTTTTTTTTTTTTTTTTTTTTTTTTTAAATGAAATCTCCAACCACGAGTATTAAATAATTCCCCTAAAAAAAATCGTATATTTCTTAAATAGTTTTACTTTTTTGTTTTTTATTTAGCCACCCAATAATGGCCCTTGCTTCAATATTTTTCTCAGGTAAAAACAGTAAAAAAAAAAAAATAAATAAAACTACAACCTATTGAAAACTTATTTTGTTTTAAGTACCCTTCGAGTCCAGTAATTTAAAAAAAAAAAAAAACCCCCTTTGTGAGGGGGCATCCCCCCCATGACCTCGAACCAAAAATAGTTGTCTTGCTATATTCCTTCTTCTTGTCCATCCATATTTAAAACTAAAAGGATTACTTTACGTTATTACGCGCAATGTCTGTTTTCTTTCTTTCGTAATATTTATAAAAATAAAATTTAAATTCTTATTGTGGGGGGGAGAAGAAAAATAATTCGCCTCGTTTTTTAACTGACGTCACAGCTGTTTTCCTCTCTACTTATATATTTCTCTTCTTTTTTTTCTTTACCTGGCCTCATATTGCAAGTTAGCCTAGTAGAATGCTTAAAAATAATAGTAGTAAGCCTTTAGGGTTTGGTAAGTTGAAACTTGCATTTCTCTCTCTCTCTCTATTAATAACTTCAGTGTACTGCGAGAAAATAAAAAAACACTGTCGTCATGACATTTTAAAACTTTATAGTTTATTTTTAAATTAAACCATGACATCCCCCAACTTCTTTATTAATTTAAAAAAAAAAAATTGCAATCTCGAGTGTATTCACTTGACAGGTAAGTATTTTATTTGATTGCAATTTAGTTATTTCTCAATGTTTACTGTTTGTTTACTCACTACGTCATTGTTTAGGGTTTGTTTTTTTTTTTCTTCTACTTTTCTGTCTAGAATTGTGAAAACTAGAATATCTTGCTACTACTTGCTACCCGTATTTTCTAACTAAAGTAAAAAGTGTATACACTAGGTCTTCTGATAATTTGTTAATTACCAAATTGCTATTTATTCGCCTTTTTAATGGCCATCATTATTTTTTTTATAAATCTATAATACTTACTGCATTCGTATTTTTTTTTCTTTAACTAGTTGAGTTATCTACTTTTCATGATCAACACCAGGTGGAAGGTTCTGTAATGAAAATGATTGTCCCAAAGATGCTGGGGTGAGAAAGAGCAGAGTGAAATAATAATTGGGGGGAAAATATATTTCAAAACTCGGATATGAAAATCTTCAATAGTTGTAAGGATTTTAACAGGATAAGCTTATATTTCTTTTTTTTTGTTTTTTTTTTTTTTCTTATAACAAAGATAAATTAGATTCAGCTGGGTATAAAGTGGGAAATCAGTTTGCTGTAATCATCAAGAAACAAACTGATCCCCCCACAAATATATTTATTTAAAGACTTAAAAAAAATATATTCCCTGATAGAATTGATAAATTCATATTTTCAATTCTATAAACTTGAAAAAAGGTTCTTTTTTTTTTTTTTTTTTTTTTTTTTTTTTTTTAAACCCTACCACCTCATCTACTGCAGTCCATGACCCTGCACTGCAGTTAGTTATAAACTCCATAATCTTTGTTCATAGTCATATGATTTTTTAATTCAGAGTTGTCCTTCTCCTAAATAGGTTGCCAACCACTGTTCGGGAGCCCAGTCTGCCCCGCTTATTGTCTTGTAACTAACCCTTATGCTATCTTCACTTCCATAGCTTTATTTACATAAACATGAATTCTTAGTGTACTGAGATATTATATACAAAAAGAAATAGTAGAATCTTAACAGGTAATTGTTTCATTGTATATGGAGAAATCTGTTTTGATAGGTTTTTTTTTGCTCAGGTCTTTAACTGATAAATTCATTCATTGATCTTTAATTGATATGTCATCCATTGGTGACCAGAGAAATTTGATCCACTTTCCTGTGCATTGCCAATTAAAAAGCAACACAAGCAGAATTTTAAAGTGACTTTGCATTTCTAAATGAAAAGTAATTATTCAATTAAGTTTAAATACAGGTTGAGTATCCTTTATCCAAAAACCTCAAAGCCGGAAGTTTTTTAGGTGCCGACATGACTTGCCACTAATAGAAAATTTCAGAAAACCCTACTATGTAGCCTACATTGGCACCAGATTTTTGTTAACGATGATCACAACAACACCTTTGTGGATTACTTACCAGATGTTTCATTCTCAGTAAGATATTATTCAAGATGTCAAAAAGCCCCACATTAACTTATTTCTTATAAGTAGTGATCATGTTTTTTATACACTTACAAAAAGCATAAAACATTGTTTTTTACATGAAATCGTAATTTCTCAACTGGAAAATCCACGTGAGCATTGTCTTTTGTCATTGTGTACACAAAATTTATTAAATCTCATACAAAACAATTTTCAGTGTATATGTTAGTTATCCAAAACTTCCTTCAGTGTACATGTATGAGCTATGTTACAAAATGTAAAGGGGTAACATGTTTATGCTTGGATTCCATCATCAAGTTTTATAGATGCTATATACAAATTAATAGCCTGTATTCTAATATCTGAAAAGATCTGAAAACCGAAAACTTTCAGTCCCAAGAATTTTGGATAAAGAATTTTCAACCTTTATATCAGAATTGAATAAACATTGTCAAATCTTCTAAATGCAAACTAACTTGTATCTATTTATATATATATTTATTTATTTTTCCTTTTTCAGATGCCCAATATTAAACTGCAAAGTTCTGATGGTGAAATATTTGAAGTTGATGTGGAGATTGCAAAGCAATCTGTCACTATCAAAACCATGTTAGAAGGTAAGACATTAACATTTAAACAGGAAGGTTTTTTTTTAAACCTTCAGGACAATCATGTCCTGAGGATTTTTTTTCTTTTCTTTTTGTTTAATTGATGTTAGCTCTCATTCTTGTTGGGGGAGCTGGTGGGCACATACCAATATCTTGATTTCTAGTTCTGCTCAATTATAGATGATGAAACTATAAGTTGGCATATACTGTGTGTTGTGGACACTCTTTCCAGTGAATTAATACAGGAGAGAAATTGTCTGTTAACACTGAAGGTCCCCAAGGCGGGTAGGTGAGGGGTTTTAAGTAGAAGCCCATTATTAATGCCCCCCTCCCTTCAAGGAACCAATAATTAATAAAATATCTTGCAGCAGGTGTGAAGGTGGTTAAGCAAGATATCTTCAATTCTGGAGTTCTTGGGAGGTGGTGATTTTATAAGCATAGTTTAGATGTGACACAAGGCTGAAAGTATGGGACACCCAGTGTGGATCTAACTCACTACTCACTTGTAATTCTTCTAGCAAGACAAACTTGTTAACCATTACACTACATCGAGGTTCCCTAAAATGATCTAAGTGTATCTTAGATGTGGCACAAAACCAAAAGTATGGGTCACTTTGTAAGGATCACTCACTATTCAGTCATAGCTTATCTAGTGAAACAAGATTGTTAACCATTACACCACATCGAAGCGCCCAAAGTTCTTGAAGTGAGCTTGAAGCTGAAATTTAGTAGTCCTTGAGTTGCATGACAAGGGAAGTAATTATTATTTTGGTTAATCTGTCAGAATTCCCACTTGGCTTTATATGATACCTGAAGTATTCAGGTGAGTAGTCTGTGATAGTTTTATCTATGATAGCTCACTTCATCTCTTTGAGGTTGAGGTGGATGCTTGGGAATACCAGGTACTATAAGCTTAGACATGCAGATAGTGTAATGGATAATGGCTCAGGATGGGGCAAGTTTCAATTCCTGTTGGGTTCATTATGCACAAATACCCTTTGAATTTGGGAAGATATGAATCTATACCCCCTCCCCCCCCAAAAAATAGCAAGACTTATATTACAAGATCATTATTTAAAAAAAAAAAAAAAAACTTTTTTTAGCCTAAAAATATTTTCTGGCTTCAAATAAACTGCAAAGGGTTAAGATGTAAAAATAATGAATCCACCAGCTCTCGTATGTTTGTATCTTCTGATACAAAAATAGTATTGTCTCTGGGGCAACTGGTATCACACAAATTGAAGGGAATAATAATCAGTACCAAGATGTGATCCTTTGAGAATACCAGGTGCTATAAGCTTGGATGTGTGGGTGGTGTAAAGGATAATGGCTCTGAATTATTAGTTAGAGCTGAGTTCCAATTCAAGTTGGGTTCATTGTATTGGCTTCCATGCAAAACTTCATGGGGTCAAACTGTGGCCCAAAGTGCATTTCTGAATGGCATACCTAATTTCATGAGGAAAATAACGTTTACGTTTTGTTTTGTTCCCACTTTGGATGTGTGGGTAGTGTAATGGATAATGGTTTGAAATTGTTAATTGGAGAGCAGTTTCAATTCCTGTTGGATTCATTATATTCACTTACGTACAAATACTCTTGAGGAAAGGTATGAATCCATCTCTTCTCCCCCCAGGTATGGGTTAATTAGTAAGACTATCACGAAACCATTATTATAACAAAAAAATTCTTACAATCTAAAAATATTTTCTGGCTTTTAAACAACTTGCAATGGTTTGATAAACCATAGAAAATAAAATAAATAAATAAAATAATAATAATAAAAAAAAAAAATTGAATTTTGTAATCTTGTGTTGAAAATAAAATTTTCAGCATTTTAGGCCACTGGTGATTTTTCACTATGAAAGTAATGTTTGTTTGTTTGCTTTAGAAACAGAAGGTTTTTTTTTGGGGGGGGGGTTCCCTCAGAAAAAAAAAAATATACTTTAAATATTGCTTGAAAATGGCTTACCATATCTATCAACAACTGCAGTCACTTTGGCTGGGTAAGACCTAGCAAAATGGATTGCTTACCAAGTAAAAGCTTACTGACAATATAAACAACCAATATTTGTTTCTACACCCACTCCCTAACCAAGAAAATCATTATAGTGCTGGAACATGAGCCACCCGTGTTTACTTGTAGGCTCAGGCTATGAGTGAATGTAGGTCAACCAATTTCCTGCATTTGTGGAATTGCAAATCTGACACAGTATATGGGTTTTCATGTAATTTTCAATAAAGGACATATTAATCATTTGGTTTTCTTTCCATGCTTAATAACTGTTAAATCTTGTTAAAAAAAAATTTTTTTTTTAAATGCATTTTTTTTTTTTTTTTTTTTAAGATCTAAAAAAAAAAAAAAAAAAGTCCAGATCTATTTTAAAATATTTTCTAATTTTCAGTCACTGAGTAGCTTTGTACTTGACATACTAGAGCCAATGACAGTAGTTATTGCTACGGTGGGATACACACGAGAGAATAGACAGGCTATATAACTGGTTTTGAAACAGTCTTTTTGTCTATTGTTCAATAATTCTTTTTTATCCACTTTATCAGTGCAAATTATAATATTTTAAATGTACAATGTTGTCTGGATCTGCTGGTGGTTTAGTGTTTAAGGGCTTGGAACAAGGTATGAGTGACCAGAGTTCAAATGCCAGTCAAGTTATTACAATTGCTTTTTCACAAATACCCTTGGGAAAGGGGGTACAAAACTGGAATTGCAAACTGTAGTTGGCAATCAGCTTAGAAGCTACAATACAAAATTTAAAAATTGTATATATTTACACATTCAGTTATATATATATATCTCGTGCCAAGAAAAAAAAAAACACTAATGGTCTGACAATTGCATCTAGCATGAAACACTGTTGCATCTAAGTGTTGACTTCAATGTACACTTTTATATTTACACATGCTCTATCTATGATATTGAGCACTTTATCCCATAAATGTAGTGCACCTTAAGAGTATATTCCTATACGCACACACACACAATTATAGTGTGTGTGTGTGTGCATATATATATATATACATATATATATATATATATATATATATATATATATATATAAAACTGTAGCTAAGGTCTGCTTGGCATATTATGCACTATAGACGTCAGTTGCGCTCTGTGGGTGCTGAACAAACACAAATATTCCTGAGTAGACGAGGGAAATGGTAGCTATGCTGAAGATGAGAAGACCCTGATTTGCAGTCGAAACATCCCGGATGATAAATGTTCTCTTTCTGAATCTCTTCTTCCCTGAAGAGTTGGTAGTTTGTCTTATTAGTTCTAGTCCATTAGATTTCAGCTCTCGAGGCTAATCAATTTGTGATGCTCATGATGCAGGGCTATTACTGAACTGTTTTGCTAAAAAAAAAAAAAAAATCAATCTATTATTTGAAAGGTGAGTCAGGCTGATATCTTTCCAGCACCCACTGTGATTTGGGGCTATTTCCTTGTCTAAGACCCTCTGTCGAACCCAGCTCTTGTACATTTTCAATCATGAATGGTTGTGGTAAAATATTAATTTTGTTTTTGTAATAAATCCTGCCTGGAATAGGCTTGAGCTTTTATGAACATGTTCTGGAGTAATTGCACGAAACTAAAAGAATTTTCAGATTAGGATGCTTGTGTAGAGATTGGATTCTTGGCTAATCTTGTGTGTGTGTCTCTCTCTCTCATATATATATATATATATATATATATATATATATATATATATATATATATATATATATACAAAGGTTTTGGGGTGGTGCTTCTCAAGATTTGCTGAAAATAAAGGGCACATGAAGAAAATATTAGAATAAAGTTTTATCAGGAAAATATTTGAGGGAAGGCTTTTTTTTTTTTTTTTTTCTTTACTAAAGAAAAAATGTTGTCCCCCATGGTGTCAATGCCATAAATTTGAGCATCTTTTTCCAGTCAAAAAGATTGATTTTAAATATCTTTCAAGAATCTGATATGTCATTAGATTTTAAGGAAATTTATTCAGAAATGTATGAAATTATTTTCTCAATACATCTGTTAACCCCACTCATTTAATTTTATGAAATTTCAAGAGATTTTTTTTTTTTGTATCTTTGAGTTATAGGACAAATCTTTGGGGAATTTAAATCATGAAATCTTTTGGGTCAAACAGGATCCTCAGTTATAGAAAAATCTGTCCTGAATCATAAAAGAAAATGCAATAAAACTAAAATGAGATTAGAAAAGCTTTTAATAGCCTTTTATGAATAAGATGTTATTGATACTGTTGTCTTAAAAGATTTTTCTTTGATGAATAATGAATTTATACAAGAATTGCTTACATTTTTTTTTTTTTTTTTTTGTTACAATAATTTAGAAAATTGTAAAATTCTGTATTTGCTTGTAGCAGTCAAGTGATATTATTAAATTAAAAACTATTTACTAATCATAAATGGAAATGGTCAATACAATTCAATGGCCCCCAGGCATTTTAAAAAGAATTGAGTTTTTGTGTGTGTATGTTGATTTTTGTAAATACAGATGTCCATTCATGACCCTATCAGAAAATAAGAGCAGTGACTGTAGTACATTTAGATTTATTGGTAATTTTCTATTTTCTCAACAAGCATCTTTGTAAGTAAGGCTCTAAAGTCAAAGTACCTAAAATTCAATAATTTTGAGATTAATTTAAAAACTTAATTACTGCTGAAATATCATGATAGCAGTAACACAATAATTTGAAATGTTATGGTATTTTATTTATTTTTAATTTTAAAGTTGAGATGTAAACCTGCAATGAATAACAAATCACAGACAAGCAAATTTCTCTGAAAATGGAGAACAACTCTTACATCATGTGACTTTTACATAAAGTCATATATAAGCTACCATAGATGAAGTAAAAATAAATAATTTTAAAAATATTGTAAAACTACATAATTATTATGTTAAAATTCTTTAAAAATTCATTATTCATCAAAACAAAATGCTTTCTTAAGACAATAGTTTCCTTAATATCACTTATTTACAAAAACAATTAAATAATGTCATAGTTTGATTACATTTTTTACTTTACCGTTCAGAGCGGATTTTCAGTACAAATAGTAAATGTTTGAAAAAATGGATTTACATTGACCAAGAAGTCCTACTTTTAACTAATTAAAAAAAAAAAAAAAAAATTCTGGAAAGAATTTAATTTCACAATTTCACGAAATTAAGTGGGGTAGCATATGTAAAGAAAAAAAAATTTAAGATTTTCTAAAACAAAAGATTTAAAAAAATAATTTAATTCACCTATGAATGCCTTGAAAGTTTTCTTAAAATCTGGCAATTTGATTTTTTGCACAAACTTTCAAATCAATGCGTTTTTCACTGGGTGGTGGATGAAAAAACATTGTAAAAATTACATCTCTTGCTGGTGTGTAAAAAAAAAAAAAAAAAAAAAAAAATTCAAATGTGTTGGGTTTAGAAACATTTTTAAAATAATTAAAAATTACTTATCTTAATGACAAACATTTTGATATTAAAACTGTTTTTAAGTTTGTGCTGTTTGTTTTTCAAGCTAGCGAGTGAGGGGACTTAAATTTTTAATCTAACTGAAATGAAAAAGATTCAAGAATCTTTTTTTTTTTTTTTTTTTTTTTTTTTTTTTAATGACTGCATTTTAAAACTTAAGTATTTAGATATTACTTTTTACTGAACTAAATTTCAAATCCACCATATGTTAATGGTCTCAGTGCAAGAATTGCCAATCCTTTGGCCATAACGCATCATGAAAATTGATAGCTTTTTCACATTCTTTCAGCCCCACCCCACCCACCAATGGGCTCAGACTCTTGCTCCAGTTAGATGATGCCAAATATAAGGGGAGGTGTGCATAACTGAAAACTCTTTTCTACATTGTCTTATTAATGTGCTAATAAGAGCATATATGCAAGAATATAAAATGGAGTGTATTTAATAATAAAAATAACATTTTCATCATCCTCGTTATCAATGATAAAAATGGGAACATGCCTGTAACTGTTATCAGTGATTCTATTGTGATAAGAAGGATGATGACTACTATAAAAATAGTAGTCGTAATGAGAAAACTGAAAGGCAAGAGAAAAGTGATTTTTCTAGAAAGTTGCTGAGAATTCTATGGATGGAGTGCATTATCAGTGGAAAGGCTTTAAGGACATTGGGAACAAAAAGGGCACTTACACTCAGAAACAAGCAAAATTTCTTGTCAATATGAGGAAGGAGGGATAGAATTTAACTTGTGTGCATGGATGATGGAATAGGTGGGGCTGGAAATTTGTCAAAAGGACAAACATTAAGACATACAAGGATAGGAAGTTGTGGAGAGCTATGATCACTAAAAGGACACAACATAAAGAAAGATTTTTAAAATGTTAAATATGTAATTAACATCAATATGGGTGTATGTACACAGTCAGAAAATTGTGCATGTGTGTTCATATGTAGAGTAGTTCTCGGTTTGACTAATATATTGAAATGCTCTTTGTATTTTTTATTTATTGATTTTATTTTATTTTTTTTTTTCCTCCTCCAGATCTCGGTATGGATGAGGAAGATGAAGAGGCCGTTCCTCTCCCTAATGTAAACGCTGCTATATTAAAAAAGGTGATCCAATGGTGCACATATCACAGGGATGATCCACCACCCCCTGAAGATGATGAGAACAAAGAAAAAAGAACTGATGACATTTGTTCTTGGGATACAGAGTTCCTGAAAGTAGACCAAGGGACTTTATTTGAACTCATTTTGGTAAGCGTTTCTTTCTCTCTCTCTCTCTCATGTTACCACCTTTTTCTTATCTATCTATCTCTCATATATATATATATATATATATATATATATATATATATATATATTATATGATAAACGTGCAATCAATTTACATATTCATGAATTATTCACACAAAAGCAAAGGTTAATGATTTAATTGGCGAGAAATCCATCATCGCAAAACAATTCAAATAATATACAAAAACCTCCGAATCCGTTATGAATGAATTGATCATTGTTTCCATAAATTTCTGCCGTATTAGTTCTTATTTTTACTACAAGCTTTCGTCTGTTCCTACAGACATCTTCAGGTATAGAATAGATGTTGTTCTTGTTTTTTTCTCTTAGTAATAAGAGGACAACGAAAATATATGTATTGTATCCGAAAATGGTATTGAAAATAACTCAGTTTTTGTGTGAATAATTCATGAAATATATATATATATATATATATATATATATATATATATAAAAAGCTACTTTTTTTTTTTTTTTTTTTTTCCCTCCAAATAAGACCACTAAGATGCAAGGTGTTAGAGAATATACAGGGCAAAAAATAAACGCTATTAAAGATTTAAAGATGATGGAAGATAACCATGAACATTACATTTCAATTTTTGAAGATCGGTTGGCTGGAAGCAAGAAGCTGGAAGAGTTCCATAAGCAAGAAGTGTGTGAGAAGAAACTGCTAGCATAGAACTTACATATAGCCATTTCAGCTGTAAAATGAGGCCCAGCTGCCAATCTAGTACTGCACTTAAATTCATAAAGTGTAAGTGCCATAAAGGAAAGTTCATTAGAACAATTACCATAAAAGTATCTTTGTAAAAAAAGGTACAGTGGAAAAGTGACTGAAGCAATATTACAGATTCTTTGGATTTTATCAAGAATCTCTAAATATATGGCAGAAGCACCAGATGAAATGCAACAGTAATATTCAAAGTAAGGGCAAATTGTGGTCTTATAAATATGTAAGATAGATTCTGGCGAGAAAAATTGTCTAGCACGATACCATGAACCAACTTTCTGATTCAATATAATCTTTCCACTTCATGTCAGCGAAAAACATTATTCTGAAAAGGGATACAGTAAGTCACTCTCCTGGAGGTTAGCATCAGCCATGCTGATGGAAGTTAAGAGTTCTCTCATGCAATTAAGAGAGCAGTTTAATTTTTGGAAGCATTAACAAGCCATTCCTTGCTCCAGTTAACACATTGTATGCCAAACCCCGTGAAATGCCTTCGAGATACATAAAGTAACAGGTTGTTTCACCATTCTTATCTAAAAGCTTGATACTCTTTTGGCAATAATTAATACATCAGCAGTTGAGCTAGAGAAGCAAAAGCCATATTGCTTACTTGAAAGTTAACCAATTCAGAGTTAGAGCCTCTAGTACAAAGCCAAACAACACTAACTAGATAAGGTGGTACTTAATCAGGAAATATTCATAATAAATTTTCCACTTTGTGTCACACACACACACACACACACACACACACACACACACACTGAAAAATGAAAAGGGTGCTCATACTCAGAATCAGAGGCAACTAAAATTTCTTGTGCCTATAAGAAAATTAGAGATTGGAGAATTTGACATTTGCAGGTCATCTCTAGAACAATACAGTTTTATAAAGTCAATTTCATACTTAATTTTCAAGGCAGCATGGAAATATGAAAAATGAGAATTTTAACATCCTAATTTTTTTTTTTTTTTTTTTACACGTGTTGAAATCCACAAAGTATTTAGTATTGTCAAAGTTATCGCTAACACTTTTTTGTCCTGATTTACAAACTACATTTCATTCAAATATTGCAAACCAATCAAAATTTGAAGAAACTGATTTGTTTGGGAAAATACTTTGACAAAAAAACCTGCTAGGCAGTTTAATAATTTCTTTAATTTTATAGGACTTCATGGTAAACAATACTTTTCAAGAAAATTTTTTTTTTTTTTTTTTTTTTTTTAACAGCAAAGAATAAATACTTAGGGTCTCTTACTCTTGAGCATGCTACATACGACTGGCCACATGTAAATATTTCTTTCTGGACCCAAATTCCAACTTATTGAAGTGTTTGCCCCTCACAGCTGTTTAAAACCCTTGTTTTTGTCATATAGGAAAATCCAACATGGCGCGTAAACGAAATATGCGGCAAAAAATCTCATTCGTCAGTAACATTTTAAACACCTCATAGAATGTAAAGTTCTTAAAGAAAACCTATGTCAAAGTGTTTTCCTGAATCCTTGATGACTTGGCTGTCCGAAAATAATATCAAGATGAAATAATGGAAACTGACCGTGAAAAATACAATTATGCGCAACAGGTTTTCGATCAATTAGTAAACTTCTGGACCTTTTAGGGCGACCTTATAGGATCCAGACGGCTATTTTTTGCACATGGAATTATTCACTGGTAATTAATCTTCGATTTGGCTGTGGAAAATGTCACTCGGCGGTTAGCATTAAGAAATTATGCACAATTTTCTGACAAAAATCCCCTTTTTAATGAAAAAATATTCATTTTCGCTTCAAAATAACATCATTCAAAATTCATTCCTTTCTCTTTCATTTGGCATGAACATCATTGAATAAAAGAAAGGCTAAATGGACCGGCGATGGGAAATACAAAAGATATGCGGCGAAAAAAACAATGTTGTCTGCTAAGTGTTGTTGTCATCACCCGGTCACGGGGTGTTAAAAAACAAAACAAAACTTATCAAGCCATTGTTCAAACATAGGTTATATGAAGCCCTAGTAATTGTGAACCCTTTTTATTCACCTTTGCTTTTATCTGGGAGTGGTGGGTTTTATTACAACTTGTTCTAAGGTTTGCCGTCCGTTTATTGCTAGCTGGCTGGCCTTTGACCTAGACGTCAAAGTCAATTAGGTTTATTTTCCCTTATCACTATTTTTAGGGAAAAAAAAAAAACTTTTGGTTTCTGGTGGTTAGGAATTGCAGATAAATCTCTTGCCTTTTACTAAAGATTTCCGTGGCCAGGTGTCAATTTTTTTAACCCTTGGCAGTCATAATTGAAAATTAACAATGGATTTTGTCGCATTTTTTGAACCCCTAGGAATGTTGATTTCCTTTAAAACTCTCAATTTTATGCCTGAAATAGTTTGATTATGATCTAGGCTTTCTGATTTTCAAAAAAAAAAAAAAAAAAAAAAATGGTTAATTTCCCATTAATGGGGGAAATATTTGTTTAGAACAAGAAAAAAATGCAAAATTTTCACTATTTTTCACATTTTACCCACTGAAAAAAAATTTTGAGTCATTTACACCAGCTAATTTTACTTTTAAATGAAAGAATATATCTTTTGCTTTCAGAAAATACCTAGTTTCATGGGGTTCAGATCAAAAGTTTCCTTGATATTCGTTTAGGTGATGATAAAACAGTCATTTTTCAATATTTTACCCCTAAAAAAGTATGAAAACCCATATTTTGAGAGAAAATAAGCTGTGACAAAATGACTTTTGCTATTTTTGTGATGATTTTCACTTGGGAAAGAAAATTTTTACCATAGGAAACCTGAATTGACTTTATTTAAGTTCAGTGGGTCTGTAGGAAGCCTCAAACAGCTGTGCCCTGTGATTATAATTTTCACAGGTGCAGGGCAAACTGAAAACTGGATTCTTGTATATAAAAACTTAAGATGCAAAACATAATATTGCATTTTTATTAAATAAGTATTTATTTTAAACTCTTTAAAAAAAAAAAAAAAAAAAATGGGAGTATTTTGTATGTTAAATAATAAAATTTTTTTTTTTTTTTTTTTAAATTTATTGTACTAAGCTACACATCCTAGTAAAACCACCTGTACTTTGTACCCCCTTCCCTGTGTCGACTACTCCCCAAAATTTGGTTTTGATCAATCGATGTATGGATATTTTAGAGAATGTAGTGGGGGGTCACAAAAATATATGAATGCAGAATTTTTTTTTTTTTTCCTGTAAATTTGAATCTTAATTGTTTTTGTTTTGCTGTTTTTTATCTACAGGCTGCAAACTATCTAGACATAAAGGGTCTGTTAGACGTGACCTGTAAAACAGTTGCCAACATGATTAAGGGCAAAGCTCCTGATGAGATTCGAAAAACATTTAATATAAAGAATGACTTCACACCAGCAGAAGAGGAGCAGGTGAGGTTACTTTATAATTTTTTTTTTTTTTTTTACTTGAGATGTTGATGTGTCAACTAATGGGGTGGGGATGGAAATTATTCACCCTCTCCAAAATCTGCAGGATGTCTTGTGCATACTGTTGGGTGGTTTAAGGGAGCACATCAGATCCAAGTTCTGCAGCTCATTCAATGTCAACTTTTGTAAAATGAAATCTTTCATTACAACTCTCCCCTCCCCCCTTTTTTTTTAAAAAAGAAAAAGTGAAATTTTAACAGTTTTGTTAATTGTCATGAACAACATATGGTGTTTGCACTTTGTGTATTCATTGAACTGAGGACCAGGACTAAACATCAACAAGCAATGATAAATAAATAAATAAATGTACAAAGGTCAAGTAAAAGTGCTTGACCAATGTTTGAAAGTGGCTCAAAAAGAGTTAATGCAGAAGCTAATGCCACCAAACAATCATGGGGGATGTCCATGCAGTGACCAGGGAAAATTGAAATTGCTTTCATGGGGATTAGTGCTGGATTACAGGTTAACAGATTGGCAATGGCCAACCTATTTAAACAATTGCTATTTCACTTGTCTTTTCGAAAGTGAAACATCCCTGAATGTTTAGTAGGTAGAGGTTTGATTTGAATTTGTTTTTTTAATTGTTATCCATCTATGGCATGGGTGGCCAAACTGCGGCTCTTTGATCTTTAATGTGTTGGCTGAGCTTCTAGAAGGTAAATTTCAAGCCTTATAATTATTTACTGTGTATGCATTGAGATCCCATTGGATTAAAACATGTTTAATGTGTCTGTATAAGTTTTGTTCATGTCTTGTGGCTTTCAAACCTCTGAACTTTATCGTATGTGGGTCTGACATTAAGTTTTGCCACTCCTTGTCTATTGCAAGAAGTTTTCTTTCTTTCTCTCTTTGCCCTCTCTCTCCCCCAATCAACTTGCCTTCTTCTCTAAAACCCTTTATTTTCTCTTTTCAGGTGCGGAAGGAGAATGAATGGTGTGAAGAAAAATAAAACTTTATAAAAAGGAAAATTTTTCTTTTCCCCCTTTCAACTTCCTTTTTTTTTTCTCTCCCCTCTTCACAAAAAAAAAACACATGAGTTGCGACCCCCCCCCCTCCACCAAGTTAAAAACATAAAAACTGCTTCAGCTACTAACTGCATCCAATCTTTGTCCTTAGCTCCAAATATTATTCTTTAATAATTATTTCCTGGATTTTCTTATTTTGCATCTATATCTTTACTGTCCATAAAATCTAATATTTTTCTTATCCTAAAATAAATTCACTAACAGGTTTTATTTTAATTTTAGAGATCAACCCAGTTTTAATATTTGCCAAAATTCTTTCATGGATAAATTTTATAAAATGCAACTATGCATTGAAACCTGCACAATTTAAACAAAGAAACTTCATCGCTTGATGATAAAGATCTGTTCATTTGTTTCAAAAGGGGAGAGCTAAGCTAGAAAGACTATCACTGTATCCTAAAACTAGTGGATGATTGATTGGTAGGCAGTAAAATCTTCTTGTAGATTGATAAGGAGATTGCAGTAGCTAATTATTGAAAGGCAGTTTCTACTAGTACCCCTCTACTTGGTTTCAAACAGAAAAATGTGCTAGAGAATACACCCCCCCCCCTCTCTCTCTCTATCTTTTGCCTCCTTCACTCTTTGCCACTTTTTTTTTTTTTAACTACCCTAAGATAGATATCTCAATTGTCCGACATGAAATTCTGTTTTCTTTTTAAATCAAAATGAGCTAAAATCTATTTTTTTAGCCCTTCACATTCATCTGATTATTCTAATGGTCCAGCTTTGATATCCCCAATGAGGATTAACCCGGATGCTTGGTTTGTGGGTATCTGACTGAAACTATAGCAGCCTCTTAAGTGTCTTGTAGTTTGCTTGCTTGCTTTTTTTTTTTTTTTTTTTAATATAATAATAATAATGTATTCTCTTCTTCTGGCACAAAGGTGAAAAGTTTAGCCTTGAACACTTGAAGTAACTAGATTTGATTTTTACCAGAGAAGCCAGAACAATTGTTTGTGCAAAAAATTCCTGCAGGGAGAAGAAAAAAAAAATAGTGGCTATGTTTGTTCTCTTTTTTTTTTCCTCACACTTTTTCTTCTTCTTTTCCCTCTCCCTCACTCCCTCCTCGCTGCTGTCTGTCTCTTGCACATTTGGTTTTTTCATCAGTGAGGTGGGTTTTTATTTAAAGAAAAAAAAAATAAAATAAAGATGATAAAATAAAGAGCAACAAGTAATTTTTTTTTCTCTCCAAACCAAAATATATTTAATAAATATTTCTTGTTCTCACTGTTTGTTTTCTTTATTTTGTTTGTTGTTGCTCTTCATTTGTTGTTTTCTTTAGCACTGTCTAAGTGTTCTTGCATGCAGCTGGTTTTATTACTACAGTGTAGCAGGCAGTTCAGGTTCCAGCCCATGGGGAAAGTGTCCTACCTCCACCCCCAGCTACAGGAAAAAAATAGAACTCAGAATTTTTTTACTCATAATGCTCAAATCAATTGAGTTGGGCTTGTTTCCTATTAAAGTTCTAAAAAAAAAAAAAAAAAAAAAAAAAACTATTTATAGTCAAGGTTTAACTGGACCCATGTTTCCTTTGTCCCTTTCTTCATATACAAAATAAAAAAAAAAATGTCTATGAAGGCTTTATTTTCAGTTGTTGAACTTCAAATTTAGTAGTGTACATTATTAACTTTTACCACACTACAGGCGAAAATAGTCGTCATAGAATTATCTCCCTTTGCTACTCTAGGCGCATTCTGTCGCCTTGAGACAGTTGCTATAACTAAGCACTTGGCAATTGTTATTTCCGGTATTTTAAGCTGGAAATCACCTACTGCTGCTTTGGAAGGAGGTTAAACTCCCGTTTTCCAACGCCATATTGAAGTCTTCTAGACTCTATATGAGGTGTAACATCGATCAAACCCACATAAAGGGCTGCGTCAATATCCAACAAAAGAGTTTTTCTTCAAGTAACAATCCGATGATGATTTTGAAGGATTTACTCGAGTGAATATTGATGGTGAAGTGGTTGAAGATGATAACCACACTAGTTATTGCACCCTCAAAACTCCACAAGGAGTAATAAAAGTACGTTGAATTATTTATATATTTTTTCACGTTTCAATTTTGTTTTCAACGTCAAAACATGCATTCAAAATGTAATGCATTACATCAAAATATTTACTCATTCATCCTTTTATAATTGTACAAAAATTAAAATCTATATGCACAATACAAAGATATAACAATTTTAACACAATGTGTTAATGTTTTTGCACCCTAAAAAAAAAAAAAGTGCAGGGGGAACAATTCTAGAAAGAAATTAGTGTGGTAAAAGTTTTTTAAAAAAAATCAAACCCTACACTAATTATCAGTGTATTTATATATTTCTTATCCGTAGTGGGAAGGGAGATAAATCTACTTAACTTAGTAAATTGATGAGTAATTACTTCCCTCAGTCGCTTTAATAATCCATAGAAAATGCTTATCTGCATTTAGGCAAAATTAGTTCCAGAGCAAAATGAACCGTTTCTAAGATTGCAGTCTTATCTGTTCAAGTCTTTCATGTGAAGCGCTCAAATATCTTTGTCCAAGTTGAAGAAAGACAATTACTTAAAGTGATCATCTTTCTTCAACTTGGTCTTAAATAAGCTTTGATGTCACCACTCTGCTGCTAATCTTTTTCTTAGGTTTTTATTTTCACTGTTCTATTAAACAATTTTCAACATGAAAAGATATGCAAAAAAAAAATTCATAACAAGAATAATAAATGAATCCTGGAAACTATAGAATATCTTTTTTAAAAAAAAAAAAAATATGAACTCCTTGGCCATTTATTAGTTTTGGAGTTTTTTTTTTTTATCTCTGCTTTATGGAATCTTGATACATTGTTTCAAGACTCATTGCACTGCATCTCACTTAAAACTTAAAAAAAAAAAAAAAAAAAAGGCATTTGATTAAGACACAAATACACTATTATAATAGTGAAGTAGGTACCTCCACTTGGTTTCTGCACCTAAGGTTTAAAATCAATTTTTAGGAATGAAAAAAAAAAAAAAAAAAAATTTTTTTTTTATTGCTTGCAGTATGCAAAAAATAAAATGTTTCTAAAACTGAGGAATATTAGCTGATTAAAGTATAATTTGATTTGAAAAAATATTTACTTTAAGTTGAAAATAAGAGAAATGGATTTTTAAAACAATCAGCAGTGATTACCTGCTGATAAAACTGTCAAATTTTGTTTTAACAAAGTCTGTCAAACAATAAAGGTGTTAAGAAAATGATGGATGTGCATAATTTAAGTACTCAGTAATCTTAAAAATGTTGGAAACTATTCTCTATAATCTAGTTTTAGGAATGTTGACTTTTTTTTTTTTTTAAATATGGTCAACCATACTTTCAAACAGTCACATTAAGTAATATTTCATCTACATAAAAAAAATTTTAATTATTCGTATTAAGCTTTTCAATTTTGATTAGCAAATTTAGTTTTTACTAAATAACAATATCACTTAATTCTGCATTACTTTCATTCAGTTAAGATTTATATATTATAAATTACAATTAAAATTTTTAAATATTATTTTTCTTAACACTAGTGTCCTTAATATTATTTATAAAAGCTTTTCTAATTAAATAATGTCAGTTTTATTGTATTTTTTTTATTTTATGATTCAGAGCAGATTTTCAGGAAATGAGTAGTTTAAAAATAAAAAAAATAATGTACATTATCCATGGACTCCAGCTTTTCACTAATAAAAAAAATTTTCAGATGAAAATCTAATTTCATGAAATTAAGTGATGTATAATTAAAAAAAAAAAAAAAAAAATTACCGAGATTCTCTTACTGAATAATTTCAAGTTCTGAAAGTTTCATTAAAAGCAGAGAATTTTTTTTTTTTTTTTTTTTTGCAGGAATTTCTAAATCAATGCGTTTTACACTGGAAAAAAGTGCAAAAACCCTACTTATAAATATGTCAACCAGTGACACAAAAAACAAGATTTTTTTTTTAAACAAAATTTTGAACATGCTAGAAAGGATTAAAAACATTTGATAAAATAATACTGTGGTCTTTCTTCTTAAGAATAAACATTAATACAATAAAACTATTTTTAAGTTTGGGGCCTTTTTTTTCATCAAAAAAAAAAAGTGGAGGTACCTATTATAATAAAATGATTAACTGTGTTCTTTATCCAGCAACAAATCCAAATAGGCCCGGTCAATCAGATCAGATTCTTGGATATTGAGTTTTTTCATTAAGTCATTGACAATTGCAATTCCTTCTGCTTTGGTCTGGCCTTCTTTCATGATAACCTGTCGAGGAGGAGGAGTAGATATAAATTGACAGCAAAACAAAATCTGGAATCAAGTTATCTTTCGAAATAATTATCATACTAGCTTTTACATTTTTCAAAATAATTATCATACTAGCTTTTACATTTTTCAAAATAATTATCATACTGGCTTTTACATTTTACCAACCATGTCACACAACTGTTTACCTCAAGATCAGAACTTGTTCACATTTATGAATCTGCCTTAATATAGAAATTTCTGGCAAGATGACTTATTTACATTCAGACTAATATCCTTATCTTCATTATCCAAACATTTCAGCTGTTGTGCCTTCTTCAGGGAATTTCTAACAACCCTTTAATCTATGGGGTAGATTATCTTATATCAACAGGAATCTCAAGAAAACTGAAACACGAGAAGCAGGGAGTTTATTATATTTGAGATTTAAATAGTTAGAAAAAGTGAACACTGAAGTTTAATTTTTTTTTGGGGGGGGGTGTAATATCCCAGCAACAGAAGGGAGATAACTCCTAGAGACACAAGAGTTAGCTCCCCTCCGGAATCTTAATCAGCAGCTTGGCAGCCTGTAATTAGTTGGGACTTCACCTCAGAATCGATGTCGGAAAAACGGCACATAGACACAGCTTCCTTTAGTTTGCGGTAGAATTCTTCAATGCCTGGGCTATTTTGTTTAATTTTCCGGAACACAAATCGGTTGTATTCCATGTCGTTTTTTTCGGTTGAAGTGGTTGTGCACTGCTGAGACAAGCTTGTCGAAATGATTTTTTTCTGTCATGTGGTATCTCGTCGATGATGTCATTCTCGCCTCGACAAAACGTTAGAAGGATTGCTTTTTGCCGTTTGTCATCCTCAATGTTATGTGCGACAAAAATAGTTTTTCAGTCTTTTTATGTATTTTGTCCATCTTGCTGCTTTGGCTGTTGACTCACAGTCAAATTCGGGGTAGTGTGGAACGGCGGCCATATTAGTTATATATCAACACGTGTTGAATTTTTTTTTTTTTTAGTGTGTTGATGTTCTGTTTTTGTGAGGGTAACAACTCGGTCCTCGTCGCCAATGTAATGTTCTGCGCAAGAAGCTATCGATGCTTGCTAGGCGTCGATTAATGCCTTGCTAGGATTTTAGGATGATTGTTGATTGTCCCTCCGGTGATGGTAGCCTCCTATTCCCCTTTTGCTGCCAAGCTGCTGATTAAGATTCCGGATGTCCGGAGGGGAGCTAACTCCGGTGTCTCTAGGGGTTATCTCCCTTCTGTTGCTGGGATATTACAGAGGGGGAGTCATTAACAGAACAGTGCTCAATAGATAACTAGAGCTATAAACTAAATAAATAAATGGTAAATTCTGTCCATGTGACTGAAATCCCTCTAACTCTGGATTGAAAAATCTGCCCTTCATCTGGTGTTTTGAACGTCCAGCATTGGGATTTGTGTCCAGATGAGGATTCAAATTTTTAAATAACTGAAAAATAGTAATTTTAAAAAGTTTTTAATTCATATTGAGTTTAAAGTAACACAAAAACTTTGAATTTAAAAATTGTTTAAAATATCTCCAAAACTTTGTGAATTAAAGAAATCACTTTTATTTCTTCAAAATGCCAGAGTTAAGATGAGAAATTTTGTGACTTGTGGATTTTTTTGTTCAGAATTGCACTTATAGCTTGAATCAGAGTTGAAGTGAGGTTTTTGAAGATCCATTGAGGAATTCAAATTTATTCCTTCAAAATTATTACCGTTTTCTAAGGTGGACCAGAAGTCTCTTTAGATTTGGGTAGGAGGCCCAATTAGCCCTCAGCTGGAGCTAGGCTCAAAGTCTGCACAGAGTTCAGCTTTAAGCTAGTTATATATATAACTGACAGTAGGTATCCATCAGTATTGGGAAACTATGGAGACTGCAAGAGTAGCTTATTCGTGTTCAGGTATATTTTTGTTTCTTCAACACCTAAAATGAGAACTATTTACATTAATTGGACTATTGTCCTCATCTTTGTCGTCATATTTATTACAATGTTTTGGCCTCAAGGACACGTGGCACAGTGGATAAAGGTGTTAGTTAGATCCAGTGACAGGACCCAAAGAGTGTGAGTTCAATACCCAGTTAAAGCAGTGGAGAACTTGGAGAGGGGAATTAACAGGAGATAACTGATAACTGACATCCATTAAGCATGGCACATGGAACTAGAACAGTCTACCCCAGTGAGCGAAATAAAGGGTTCTGTTTGTCATTCCAACCACCTGAAGATGGCCAGAGCGTACAATGGCCGAAATGTTGTAATAAATATGGCAACAAAGATGAGGACAATAGTCTGAATAATGTAAATAGTGTACATAATACCTCATCTCAGAAATATAGACAGATACTAAAATGAGAAATTTTGGGACATGAAGTTTTGAAGTTCTGTGAAGTTTGTGATTGAACAACTCAATTTTTCAATCGGAGTTTCATCTTTTAGCTAGATTTGGACTTATAGCCCAAATCAGAGTTAAAGTGAGGTTTTTGAAGATCCATAGAGTGAATTGAGGAATTCAAATTTATTTCGTAAAAATTATCATTGCTCACTATTTACATTATTTGGACTATTGTCCTCATCTTTGTCGCCATATTTATTACAACGTTTCGGCCATTGTATGCTCCAGACTTCTTCAGGTGGTTGGAATGTCGAACTGAACCCTTACAATACCAGTAATAAAGAATGCCTGAGAAAAGCGATAATAACAACAAAGATTACAATATGAGTTCTGGTAAAAACATGTAATGATAACAGCAAAAATTGCAATATGAGCACTGGTAAAGAAAATGGTTGCTAAAGACATTAGGTTTATAATACCCAGAAAATTCATACACAGATATCCTCAAGGACACATGGCACAGTGGATAAAGGCGTTAATTAGATCCAGTGACAAGGCCCAAAGAGTGTGAGTTAAGGCAGTGGAGAACTTGGAGAGGGGAATTAACAGGAGATAACTGATAACTGACATCCATTAAACATGAGCGAAATAAAAGGGTCAGTTCGACATTCCACCCCGTTGTGATAAATATGTCAATAAAGATGAGGACAATAGTCCGAATAATGTAAATAATGTACATAATACCTCATCTCAAAAATATGACGGAGAAGGCCGGAGCGTACAACGGCCGAAACGTTGTGATAAATATGGCAACAAAGATGAGGATAATAATCTGTATAATGTAAATAGTACACATAATACCTCATCTCAGAAATATACACAGATTATCATTGCTGTTTTCTAAGAATTAGGGATTAAAAAATAGTTATAAAACTATTTTTTAATCTTAAATCTTAGAAAACAGCAACGATAATCTGTCTATATTTCTGAAAACAAACATGAATGTGTTTGGATAGTACACACGAAAATGCCCTGGACAAGTAAAGGGTTAAATTCGCATGGTAAAATCATAAAGAACTTTACCAAATAACTTCACTTGATGACTTCCAACAGCAGCAACAACTAAAATAGATAAGGTGTAACTAGAAAAGAAAATATTGACTTTTATAAATCATTTCACCCCCAGTGCAGTGTTGCAGCTCAGACCAGACATCAGCGTCTTTCAATCACACGCTTGTGACTTAAAAATAACCCTTCAGCCAGAATGAAGGCCCTGACAATTTCTAACAGTAAACCAGATTTTATACTCAGGTTGTAGACAAGCGAAATCCTGATGAGAGGGAGTTGAACAGTCTAACAGGTGTCTGTGGTCACTCGCAGCCTCTCTGACTTTTCTTGGGCACTAGTCAGTCTCATAGGCAGTTCTCCACTGCCTTAACCAGGTATTGAACTCACACTCTTTTGGTTCTGTCACTGGATCTAACTAATGCCTTTATCCACTGTACCATGTGTCCTTGAGGATCCAGTGACAGGACCCAAAGAGTGTGAGTTCAATACCTGGTTAAGGCAGAGGAGAACTTGTAGAGGGAAATTAATAGGAGATAACTGATAACTGACATCCATTAGACATGGCACGTGGAATTAGAACAGTCTACGCCAGTGAGTGAAATAAAGGTTTCAGTTTGACATTCCAACCACCTGAAGAAGGCCGGAGTGTACAACGGCTGAAACGTTGCGGTAAACATGGCAACAAGGATGAGGACAATAGTATAAATAATGTAAATAGTGTACATAATACCTCAACTCAGAAATATAGACAGAAGAATTTTTATAAATTGTAAATAAGTTTAGGAATAATTGAAATTAATTGCAAAATCCAACAAAAGTTACCCATGAAATAAAAATAATTGTTTGTACAGAAAGTAAGGACCTACGTACATCAAATTGTCTTTAAATTATGTGGTGATAGAAGAATTATTGTTGAACTTTTAAAAGGTAAGCTTAAATATTAATGCAATACTTGTAGGTACGTCCCAGGTAACGCTAAAAAAAGCGGTATACCCTGGAGAAAAAAGGTCCCCAAATTGATAAAAAAAAATTTTAACGTGTAAATGTTTATGTTAAAATTAAACAGGGAAGACTAAAGTATTTTTTTTTTTATTTTTTCAGATTTTTAGTCCTTCCTATAAATTTTAAAAATTTTATTAAAAAATCTCATTTTTCTTGAATAAAAAAAAAAAAACTAGTAAATTCGATTTATCGGCCGTTTCTGGCCGAATTTGTAAACAAAAAATTGAAAAAAAAAAAAAAAAAAATCAAAATTAGTTCAAAAATCAATTAAAATTCAATTACACCTTTTTTTTTTATCTTAGGAAATTTAGAATGATTAAAGTATACTTAATGTAATTTGAAAGAAACATTACTTACTTTTTTTAGCAGAAAATTTTTAATAGAGATATTTCAACCACGGTACTCAGCATGGTGCGTAATTGATGGGTGTCAATATATTGACAACTTACGCCAAGGGAATTTATCGTACGGTAGCGCAGAAGTGATGTAATTCGTTCTAATTTTAAAATGAACCTGGTTTGTAAATTTTTAAGAAAAAATTCACTTTCAAATCTTTTTAAACTTACATTTGAGGAAAAAA